AGGAGGAGGGACAGAAAGGAGAGGGATGCAGAGGAGGAGGCAGGCAAGGAGGACGGTGTGGGGAGCCCGAGAGAGAAGGGGGGAAGTGAGAGGGCAAGCCTGGGACCCCCTAACCTACAGAGGGGCAAGGAACTGGGTCCCCACCTCTGCAGCTGGGGAGGAACCAGAAGCGCTGGCATCTGCCAGCCAGGAGCAAATATTTGCCAAGGGAGGGGATGCTGGGTGAGGGTGCTCAGGACCAGATGAAGGTGAGGACCTTGCCCCTGCCCATCCCCCGTCTCCTCTCCAGCTAGGAGCCTTCCTTGCCTGGGACGGAGGGAGATGATTCCTGATTCTCAAGACATTGCAGAGCAAGACTCTGTCTCAAATATAGATATCTCCCAGCCTTCCTGGCCTGGGATGAGGATATCACAGAATAAATAAGTTCCACTTCAGGAAGTTATTTATTGTTTATTATTGTTTATTTTTTGAGACAGTCTCGCTCTGTCGCCCAGGCTAGAGTGCAGTGGAACGATCTCAGCTCACTGCTGAGATCCACCACTGAGAACCACCACCTCCCTGGTTCAAACAGTTCTCCTGCCTAAGCCTCCCGAAAGCTGGGACTACAGGTGTGCACCACCACACCCAGCTAAATTTTTTGTATTTTTAGTAGAGACAGGGTTTCACCATGCTGGCCAGGCTGGTCTCCAACTCCTTGTTTCAGGAATGTATTGTTGTTATCATTACTACTCTATTTTTATTTAGCCATGTGGATTCCTCCCTCAACCAAACTCAGAATGAATGCCCTTGCTCCGCCCGTTCCTAGATGGGGATACTGAGGTTCAGAGAAGTCAGGTCCTCGGCTTCCCCCCACCTAGTGTGTCATGCCAGGATTTGCACCCAGGGCTCTCCTGTCTCTGCCCCATGCCACCCAGCGCCCACCTGCCCAGCATGCAGCAAGTCAACAAACGACGCTATTAGGAATTTAGCGGCGCAGGCCCTCAGGAAACGCTTCGGGCTCTATGGCTGGGAGCAGGGCCCCTGGAGCCTGGCTTGCACCACCCTGGGCAAACGCCTTCCCCTTCCTGGGCTCCATGCTCTTCTGGCACCAGCCACAAAATCTCACCTC